ATCAAAACCAAACCCTGAGCTCTACAGAGTGGAAGATTCTTGTCTGTTTCATTCCCTGCTGCATTCCCAGCACACAGTAGATGCTCAGTAATGATCAATTGAGTAAATGAACAAACACAGGTAAACAAATAAGATGAATCAGATCTAGGACAGCAGTTCTGAGACACATATCTCTAAAATGCAGGGAGATATAGGGATTTTGGGTCGTCCCCTGCTGTATCCCCAGAATCTAGAGTAATGGCTAGGATAGGTAAGTAAAGGAATGAGACACTTGCCAAACCTGCTAGCTGGCTTCCGGTCCCTCACGTCTTTCCTTGGATGGAAGGAAAGGAGTACAAGACCCTTGGTCATGACCTGAGTTGGCTCTGAAGGCAGATCCAGGCACCAGCAGGTAAGCTGGAGACCAGGGCCCCAAATCTGCTCCTTTGGAGGTGCGGAGCCCTCATGAAGTTCACAGGTGGCTTGTCATATCAGTGTCGGAAACCCCGCTACATCAGGCCTGGCGATGGCAGGCCTCTGCCCAGGGGCACTATGTAGCCTAGCAGAGTGAAGCTCCAAATCCTTCCCCTGAACACAGCCTGCAGTTGGGTGGAGCCTGCCCTGGGAGCTGGACTCAGAAGGTGCTGAATGACCGGAACTTTTGTGGGTAGGGGATGGTGAACGGCTTTCCATGTGATGAGAGCACACCTGCTGTGTTCACTGCCATCCTGACGGGTATCCCTCTTTCCTCTTTACCTTCCACCCACCACTCAGCTGGAGCAGTGTAAAATGTTCAAGACCCAACCTTTGCTCTCTAGGGGCCTAAATCCTGAAAGTTCATTGGCAAAGCTCATCAGGGCTCTGGCTTGGAAGTGTGGGGGAAATGGGTGCAGGGAGCAGTCTACAGTCTGTTCCTAAGAGCAGAAGTCACACTGACCCTCACCCACTCTGCCCAGCATTTAGAATAGCAGAGTACCATGAGTTTTCAAGGAAGAGATCCCAAAGCTTGGCCCCGGAGTGTTGGTGACATTTTCCAAATATTACCCCTGGGTAATATTTTGGAGTGTCCCAGCGCAGCCCCAGAGAATCCCATGTCACCACAAGTGCAAGTCCCACCAGCGGTTTAGGGAAGACAGACTCCCTAAACCTATCCCTGTATTTGAGTTTTTAGGAGTTTCCATGGCAAAGAAGAGAGGAAACAATGAGCTTTATAAAGAACCATATTTATTTTCATTTACAGCATCAAATACCATAAATAAAGCTAAACATTGTTTGCTGTGTGCAAAATACAGGGTTCCACGTGGCACTGTAAATGATCACCAAAGGTCACAGACATGCCTTGCAATGAGAGAGGGAGGCTAGCTAAAGAGAGGCTGAGAGGGAGGAAGGCTCTCTTTGGTAGACATTCTAGAAAGGGAGGGAGACTCTGCAAGAGAAGATAAGACAAGAGCAACGACTTCGTACTGGCCAGGCTCTACACCAATGCAGCGAGGGATGCGGCATGCAGGGCTGGGCAGAGGCTCAGAGGTCAGGGTGGTTCTGGCTCCATGCAGGACAGACACCAACTGCAGCCTGAGACTGCGAGGCCTGGCCTCAACAGCTCCACAGCACATGATATGCTGGTTCTTTGAGGAGCACTTTGATTGTCCTGCTGCTCCAGGTCAATGAGGCTGCAGGAATATGTGCTTTAAGACAAGTCACAGGAGCATTTAAACTTGGTGCTCCAGGCCTGGGGTTGACCTCGGTCATTTCTCAAAGCCATTTCTCTCCTGTGACAGTGACTACCTTGTTTAAAGCTCCTGAATTATTGGGGCTTTAGGAGCCACGGGGGATAAGAAGAGCACCCGCCAACCCCTTGAATCTATGGTGCAGGCTGCCATAGAGGAAGGATTTGCTAGAATAGTGTGATGACATGTTCACAATACACAGCAAGGGTCAAACTTGTGATGAAGCCTGAGAGCAAATATTTTTAAAAATCCCTACAAAATGAATCGCCTGTGATTTGGGTCAATGGCATTTAGTAATTATGTTAGAACCAAAATAAAAAGACACTACTGTACTGGACAGTTTTCAGAGGTTGTTAGACAAAAGCATTCTTTTCAAGGGTGACAGAGCCCTCCCTATAAGGTACTGTCTCAGGGTTAACCCTCCCAAGAAGGCAAGTGGCTTTGCAGGTGCCATTGGAAAACATGCACTCAAACTGGCCCAGGGAACAGAGGAGAGGTGGGGCATGCACTTGGTGTGGAACAGGCTGCTGGCTCCAGGGGAAGTGAAATTAGAACACGGCTTTTGAGCTGAACACCACCCCACGCTGTTAACTATCCATGCCACCAAATGAGTCCGTTAGTATGCAAGACACTCACAATTAGCACAACCAGTACTGCGGGCGGGGAGGACGGGGTACGGAAAGCAGGTTAGGGGTTAGCACCACTCTCTGAAAATTGCCAAGAAAATCAGTCACCTTAGAGCAGAAGTGTGTCAGCCAAGAAGTGGGTGTAGCACTGGAAGGCTGAAATGAACTGACGGCCACAGTGTAAGGTTGGAAAGAGAAAGACAGAAAAGAGATCTTAGCTGGGTGGCAAAGAAGAAATGAATGACAATAGGAGAAGGCACTGAAGTTGAAAGTCAGGAAACCGTTAAAAAAAAAAAAGGAAAACTTCTCCCAAGAAGTCACCTCAATTAGGAGAGATGAACCTTTCTGGTGGTGACCAGCTGCTGATTGACAGGAGTGGACACATGTGGTCTGCATATTGTCAATGCTCTGCTCTACCCGACTGAGAGACCTCCCATCTCCATATTCTCTTTGTCCCACTTTTACTCTGGTGCCTTATATTTATCCTTGAATACGTAGCAGAGGCCTCGAGGTGTCTGCCCCCATCCCAGGATCCACCCATGTGTGGGTGCTGCTCACCAGGAAGGTTCACGGTCTCAGAACATACAAATATCTCAGGCTTATGACAGGCACAACCCCCTCTATTACAGTAATTCAAACCAGTCTCCTTATGACCAGAAACCCCGGCTTCACAAAGGGGATCAGCCCACCCTGAGCTGGTGGCAATCACAGTAACACGGCTGTCCACATCGTGACCTCAAGAATTTAAATCAAACATAAAAGGAACCAACAGCTCCTCCATCATGCATAACATTGAAATCCCAGCAACACATGAGAAAAATACAATGCGAGTCAGAGGAGCCGGTTCCCACAGACTTGGCCACAGTCGGGCTGCTGTTTTCCCCCAAGGATTTCAGGGAAGTGATTGTCGAAATTTTGCAACCCCTATTTCCTCCCCCACCCCCCATAGAAACCTGTCATCTCATGCCCTCGAGAACTCTGGCTCCTCACATGCACCAGGTTCCAGCCCTGGATCTAGAGGAATCTCTAGAGGTAGTATTTACTCAGAGGCCTCGTGAGCCTAAAGACTGTGGGTACACTGAACCCCTAGAGGGTCTTTCTCTATCAGCTCCTCAGTTGCTCAACCAGATCCTGCAGCTGTGCATGTCCAGGCAGAGTCGGGGTGGGGACAGCTGAGGGCTCTGCCAGACACCCTGAGTAAAACATGCAGGTGGGCCTCATACTCATTTTTTGCTCTGACAGGACCCATTTCATTGAATTGGTCCATTCCTAGCCCTCTCTGCCGGTCAAGATGCCGCAGAGATCCCCCTGGAGTGCAAACACCCTTTTTGTTAGGGTCACATGAACCTGGACCCTAAACGTTAGGACCATGTGGCTGGGCACCTGTAGACAAGGACCACTAGGCAGGCCATGCTTCCCAAGGGCTCACAAGCACCCTCAGGCTCAGCTAACACCAAGGGAGGGGGTGACTTCTTCCTCTCCCTGAGCGGCCTTATCTTTTAGAGGCCCAAATGCCACCAACTGAAATAGCTTGTCCTCAGTATGGCATCAGCTTGATGGATCTCTGGGGTCAAGTGCCATTGGGCTTTCCCTGCAGTGCCCATTAGTGGGAAGGAAAAATGTAGGTTTGCAACAATCTGAAACCCTGTGGTTCTGCAACACTGGCTTATGATTTGGTGTGGGAAAAAGCCCTTAAGTTTCTTTTATATCAAAACAAAAGAGAAAATGGTCCTCCCTCTGGAGGACAGAGTCAACTACACATTGCTATGTGCTTTTGTAAAAACGCATTCATTCTATTATTCTTTTCTTCCAAAATCATTATGCTTTCATATTGAAAAAAAAAAACCCCAAAACAACAACAAAAAAAACATGCCCACTGTTGACAAGGGGCATCCAGTTACAAAAGTCGAAAGGCACTTGTCAGAAGATCGCACATTCACTTTTGTGTATATAAATCCCAAACTTTGCAGGTAGCGATTATTACGACTCACTAGAATGTGGAAGGGGCTTGTACAACCGATTATAAACTTCAAACCCATGTTTAGAAAAACTGACACTTTAGAAAAAAAAATGTTTTTTCTTGGCTTAGTGAAAGTTAAAAAATTGAAATGTAAACCCAGAAATATGGCTCGCTTTGGTATAAAAAACAGTACAAAGTTATAAAACACATCCTTCATGTCATCCCTGGCCCTAGCACCATGGCTAGATGTTCATCCTGTCAAGGCCAGTCATAGGTGGCCAATGTGAAACTCTTTGGCTTGGAGCTAATTGGTTATAGACACTAGACTTCCTGGCCAGAGCCTTTGCAAACTACAAACACACTGCCATCTAAACTATGGAAATGTTAAGGCACTTTGGGACAGCCAGGGGCTTCACTGGAGCTTGATGGGGATGCACCTGAGCACCCAGCTTCGAATGCTCTCGAGGGAATCCTCAGACTCCCGGTACATGGTTGCCAGGACCTCAGCGAAGGCCCAGAGAAGTGGCAGCCCAAGGCTCAGAAGCTCGTACATGTAGCAGTAGTTGTAAGCATTGTCCCTGAAATGGAGGCCGGCAGCTTGCAGGAGTCCCTGCATCCAGTTAAGCAGGCCCCAGGGGAGGTGGAGCAGGTCCCTCTGCAGCCTGAGAGGCCAGCTCAGGGCTCTCCTAAAGAAGGAGGTGGAGATACCTGGGGGGCTACCTTCTGGTGTGCCAATGGCAGCCACTGCACAAGAACTTTCCGTGGGAGTGTCTCGCTGAGGGACTTCTTGCTCCTGCCACGTCCCCTCCTTCTGAGAAAGAGACCAAAATGAGGGCATTTAGTCCATGACTCTCACAGAGGACTCCTCCAACAAAGCAGACTGAGAGGGCCAGAGAAACTCTAACTTGGCAAACTGTGGGTTCACCCCCTCAAATAGTCTCAGGCCCCACTCATGATGCTGAATATGGGCACAACTTTTGGGGGGATAAACTGACCATATAGTTCATGAGGCTTCAAAATAAATGGTTGCCCTTTGACCAGCAACCCAACTTGTAGTGATTTATACTAAGATAATATTTTGAAACACAGGTGAAGATTTGCATATAAAGACATTTATTGTAAAAAAAAAAACATTTGTAAGATAAAAATACCAAAGTGTAAGTCCAAACGTGGGGCTAGTGAAATAGGTTATTGATCATGCATAAAATAGGATCTATTATAGGCATTAAAAATTAGAATCCCAAAGAATTTTTAACATCATGGAAAACTGTTATTGATACACTGTTGATTAAAAAAAGAAAAAAGGAAAAGGAGGAAATGAAACTGTGGAGATAGATAGGATTCTAACTGGGTTAAGGTACACTCACCTAGGAAAAAAGTCTGGACGGGGTAGTTTTTTCAGAATACAGTGATTAACTTTTCTTTTTTATATGTTTTAAAATCCACCACCCCCATTTTTTTACATTGAGCCTACATTACTTGTATTATTAGAAAAAAGTTTTAGGTTGTGGGGTTTTATGGCGGTGGGTGAGTCATTAATCCAGAGAAAAGGTATTTGCTAAGAGCTGCCAGAGGGGGCGCTGCCTCATCTATAAACTCAGTGGGCTGGGCTTTACGCTGACATTGAAGGGCCTGGGGAAGGACCAGGAAGGGTAAAAAGCTGACCTTATATCAGGTGTTCCTCCTGCAAACAGCACCTTGTGGCCAGGTGGGCCCCAGGCACAGAGTGACCATGTGGCTTTTATGTGGCTGAGCAAATACTGTCCTTGGCTTCAGGAGAAGCCAGAAAACCACTTACCTGGGAACTGGCATCTGGAATGGGGCAAACCCCAGAGGCTGGCTCAACAGACCACACACAGGAACCACACACCAGGAAGTGGAGTCTCTCTTTATTATCTGAGGGTAGTTTTTGTCCACCCAGGGCCATAAAAGTTGGTCTAACATTGAGGAATGCTTGACCTTCTCCTCTTAAGGGGTTTCCCTGTCCCACCAACACTCAGGATAGAACATACCTCTCTTTGCTGCTTCAGCTCTGCCCGCCTCTTCCGTTGTTTGCTATTGGTTTTATAGTGACTGAAATGAGGCTTGCAGTAAAATTTGCCTGTAAAAAGACAAAGAGACACACATACACACACAATTTTTTTCCCCCTGTAAAACGGCCACAGTAGACATAAGCCAAGGTCCCATGGCTATCCAACTTAGAATACATCATTAATAAAAATCAGCCCAGATCCACTCAAACTTGAGAAATGGCATCTGTCACCTGCCCTAAAAATGTGGCCCTGAGATGAGACAGCTGCACTCTTTGTTGCTTTAGAGAAAGCTCCAGCAATGGGGGGGCTCCCAGGGAGCAAAATGGTAGCTCTGAGTATCAGCACTCTTGGTCCTTCTTTCCGGAATCCCTCGGGAGTAGGGAAGGCTGAGAACAAGGGAAAGCTGTGTCAGGCAAGAAAAGATGCCGACGGGGGACATGCTGGGTAACTGGCCACTGCCCAGGACCACTGGGTACCTTCCAGAAAAAGTTTTCCTGCTCTCTGCTACAATAGTAAAAACAGTGATGGCAACAAGAACAATAGTGAAGAACTTGGTGTGGGACTTCCTGCGCGTCAGGCGCTAGTCTAAACGCTTCACGTAAATAACTCACAACAATCTCCTGAGCTAAGTACTATTATCATCCTTACTTTACAGACAAGGAAACTGAGAGACCAAGAGGTTGAATCACAGGCCTAGGTTATATGGCTAGCAGGTGTAATCTGAATTTGAAGCTGGCATGTAAGTTGGAGGGTATGTCATCCCAAGCACTATGCTACACTCGACGGTGCAATGGAAAGTGCTGGAAATTACAAACCCATCACCACTGCGCTGAGCAGAGCTCCTTCCTTGATGATCTCTGGTAGGCCACTTATCAGAGGAGATATTATTATTAAAGGTCATTTTTAATAACTCATATTTTATAAATACTACCAATAGGCCATCATGTAGTACACCCTGTTATCAGGGTTGATTTTCTTGGGTACTCAGGGACCATGGAAGGTGGTGTGGCTAAATGAGAAGATTTATATAGAGCCCTCAGAACCTGGGTGCCACCAGAGCACGGCATACTGTGGTGGTGGCCATGGCTTCCCAGTCCCTCACAATACAGGTGGCCTCTGTAGCTGGAGCTCCCAGGTTCTCTAAACAGCTTTCTTGACAACTCACACTCCCCCCTGGGAAGGGTTGGGTGTCCTAGAACCTCCTCAGGGCTGGGAAGGTCACAGCTGAGGCCAGAGCCAGTGCCCTCCTGGCTGCGGGGGTTTACCTTCATCACAGTCGAAGGTGTAGGCGGCCAGGTGCAGGGTGGTGGCACAGACGCTGCAGCGGAAGCACTCGCGGTGGAAGAAGTGGCCCTCGGCGCTCAGCCGCTCCATCACGTACACTCGCTTCTTACAGAAGTAGCAGGTGTCGCTGCCACCCAGGTTCAGTGGGAACACCTTCCGTACAGACTCCTGGGGCGGAACAGAGGAGCAGTGCGTGAGGTCCAGAGAGTCTTCGGGGGCCAGGCCTGGGTGCTGAGAAACTCCAAACTGAACTACGGGGACATCTTGGACTCTGGTTTGCCGCTGGCATCTTTGCTGCAAAGATAGAGGTTCCTGATATCTGTCCCTGGGGAGAGACAGGGCTTCTTCCCCAGACTGGCTGCTCTGGCTCTGGGTGGGAGGGTCCGATGGAGCAGGTGTCATGACGCCAGCTTTCTTGACAACTCACACTTCCCCCTGGGAAGGGTTGGGTGTCTGCCCAGTGGTATTCTCTATAGGAGATAAACATCACTGGCTCCAGAGGGGGTTACTGACACGATCCTGCTGAGGATGTTCTACATGTCCTTGCTCTCTGCAGTGACTAGGTCAGACAAGCAAAGCTGGTGGCCTCAAGTCTGCTCAAGAGAGTGTCAATAAGGGAGAACTTGAGTCTGACAAACCATCACAGGCAAGGGTAGAGGGGAGACGTGGGCCAGGACAGCCCAGCTCTGGGCAGTTCCAAGACAATGTGCCAAGGGGAGACAAACTGTCAATGCACGTGGCTGGTGGTGGCAGCGAGCAGCCTCATGTGAGGAAGGAGAACGAGAGGGAAGCTCTTGTGTTCTCTCCACTACTCGGTTCCCCATCCAACACACAGGGCCATTCAGGTCGGCACCAAACACTGACAACATGGACCCTCCTTCTCCAGAGCCACAGACAGTCCCACAGAGGACCTGAGTGAAGTTCGTCTTTAAGGAAACGCGGCTTCCCTGGCGCCTCTGCTCAGGCCCAGCCCGTTTCTCTTGTTCCCAGAGAAGGGGAGCTTTCAGGGGGCTGGGCCGTCGTCCTCTCCACCGCCCATGCTCCCCCCTAGGAGGCCAGGGCCAGTGTCTGCAGGTGAAGGCTGAGAGCGCATGTCCTTACCAGGTCTGGAGAGGTGGCCTGGGTCTTACGTCTGTGATCATTCAAGTACAGATTGACCAGGACTTCAGCTGCAGCCCCTATTCCGCTGGACACTTTCCCTACCGTCAGCTAACCAATAGCAGAGTCGGAGGGGACAGAGACAAAAGAGAGGCCAGTTAGCACCCAGAAGGAAAATGCAGCAAGGCTGGAGGTGGGAGAGTGCTCCGAACCCACATGCCAACAGCACCCAATGTCCCAGAGAGGCAAGCCATCCAGGAGGAGGAGGTGAGCATCCGGAGATGGAGAGAGGAAAGAAGACACAGACACACACACACACACACACACACACACACACAGACTCCACTTCTCTGAGGTACCTGGAGTCATCAGAATCACAGAGACAGAATAGTGGTCGCCAGGGGAAACTTTTTTTTTATAATTATTTTTTAGTTGGGTTGGACTTTTATTTATTTATATGTGGTGCTGAGAATGAAACCCAGTGCCTCACACATGCCAGGCAAATGCTCCACCACTGAGCCACAACCCCAGGCCCCAGGGGAAACATTTTTTATGGGTGCAGTTTTAGTTTTATAAGATCAAAAGAGTTCTGGAGATGGAGGGTCATGAAGGTTACACAACAGTATAAGTATACTTAGTATCACTGAAGTGTACAATGAAAAATGGTTAAGATGGCTTTATGCTAAGTGTATTTTAACACAATAAAAAAATTGGAAAAAATATTAAGAAAACCTCCCCAAAACGTTGGGTGAGCCTAGTGACTGGCAGAACCACATCCATTGGGGGTGCCAGGCCTTCAGGGGTTCACTGAGCCTCTGCCCTAATTGGGCAAATGAATCTCAAGAGTAGTTTTAGTTTGCAGTTTTCTAATTACTAGAGATGTTGACCATTTATTCATGTATTTATTGACCATTCGTATTTATTCTTTTAAGATGTGTTTGTTTAGTAGTACCTTTGCCCATTTATTGATTGGGTTTGTTTGTTTGTTTGTTTGTTTAGTGTTAAGTTTTTTTGAGTTCTTTGTATAACTTGGAAATGAATGCCCTAAGTTGCAGGTGGCAAAGATTTTCTCCCATTCTGTAGACTCTCTCTTAACATTCTTTTTTTTTTTTTTTTTGTACCAGGGATTGAACCCAGGGGATTAAACTGCTGAGACACACCTCCAGCCCTTTTAAAATATTTTATTTAGAGACAGGGTGTCGCTGAATTTCTTAGGGCCTCACTAAGTTGCTGAGGCTGGCTTTGTACTGGTGATCCTCTTGCCTCAGCCTCCCCAGTTGCTGGGATCACAGGCATGCAACACTAAGCCCAGCTCCTCATATTCTTGATTATTTCCTTTGCTGTGAAGAAGCTTTTTAGTTTGATGTCATCCCATTTATTGATTTTCGATTTTACTTCTTGCGCTTTAGGAGTCTTGTTAAGAAAGTCAGTTTCTAAGCCCATATGTTGTAATATTGGGCCTAGATGTTCTCCCAGTATGTGCAAGGTTTCTGGTCTAATTCCTAGGTCTTTGATCCACTTTGAGTTGATTAAAGATGAGAGATAGGGGTTAAATATTATTCTACTACACATGGATTTCCAGTTTTCCCAGCACCATTTGTTGAAGAGGCTATCTTTTCTTATTTCATCTCACTCTAGTTAGAATGGCAATTATCAAGAATACAAGTAACAATGCATGTTGGCAAGGATGTGTGGTGGGGGAAATACACTCACGCATTGCTGGTGGGACTGCAAACTGGTGCAAACACTCTGGAAAGAATTATGGAAATACCTTGCGAAACTAGGAATGGAACCACTATTTGACCCAGCTATCCCACTCCTTGGTATATAGCCAAAGGATTTAAAATCAGCATATAATATGTGACACAGCCACATCAATGTTTATAGCAGCTCCATTTACAATAGCTAAGTTATGGAGCCAACCTAGGTGCTCGTCAACTGATGAATGGATAAAGAAAACGTCTCTCTCTCTCTCTCTCTCTCTCTCTCTCTCTCTCTCTCACACACACACACACACACACACACACACACACACACACAAAATGGAATATTAGCCATAAAAAATGACTTTATAATATTTGCCAGTAAATGGATGGATCTGGAGATGATCAGGCTAAGTGAAACAAGCTAATCCTCAAAAGCAAAAGGTTGGATATTTTCAGTGATATGTGGAAGCTAACCTATAATAAGGGTGGGGACCAGAATAGAAGTTCAGTAGATTAGACAAAGGGAAATAAAAGGAAGGAAAGGGGAATAGGAAAAGGAAAGACAGCAGAATGAACCTGACATAATTTTTCTATGAACATATATGAATACACCACAGTGAATTTCACCATTGTGTACATCAACAAGAAAGTGGTCCTAATTAGAAGAAGCTATATTCCATGCTCGAACAATTATATCAAAATGAATTCCACTGTCATGCATAACTTAAAAGACACTCAAATCAATGTGCCTTCAACATATTAATTATATTTTCCCATCTTTTGATATTGTCAAATCATCTCAAAAGGAATAATGTCAATTATTAAACAAAATGGATTCCAGAGAGGGGAAGGGATCTCCTTGAGATCATTTATCATATAAGTGCAAGATTCAGAACTATTCTCAGGACTCCTGACCCCAGCTCTGGCCGTCAAGCCTGTCTCATTAGGGGCAGGGGGAATTGAACTCTTTGGGGCTAATAATTACCCATAGGCCTGTGTTGCACCTGTGTGTGTGTGCAAAAGTCTGTGCAAAAGTTTGTAAGACAGAGAAGCCAAGCTAAGGAGAGAAGGAAACCAGGAACCACTCTCTCACAGACAGAAGGCAAATCTGCAGTCCTCCTGCTCCAGAGAGCCCATCACCTGGGAGGGCTGTGGCTGCAGCTAAGTGGCCACGGGGACAGGCAGGGCCCAATTTCACCTCTGACAGGTTCTGAGCTATTTTCTCGTTTAGTAAAATGAGGGCAGTTGCACCTGCCCCATGGATTTGTGAGAAGGACTGAGTGCATGGTGCATGGCAGGGCTGGGCCAAGATAAGCTTGATCCTCCCTCCTCCCTCCTCTGGATTCAGCCCTCCACTCTTGGGTACCTACAGAGCTGCACCCATGTCTGAGTCCCTCCCGGCAGGACCATGGAACAGTTTGCCAACAAGCAGTGGCTGGAGTGAAGGGGTGGCTGGGCTACTCTGGGCTGTTTGGAGAGCACAGTGGAGGGCTCAATGGCAGTGCCACACGGGTCCCAGAGCTGGTGCAGGGCAAAGCCAGCCCAGAGTGGGAGAGGCAGCAGCTCCACATGGGTCTGAACACCCCTCATCTGAGTGTCGTGCTCCTGAACCTACAAACGTCTGGATCCCACCAGTGTGTTGAGGAGCTGGGGAAGGGGAGAGGCTGGCAGCTGGAGCAGGACCAGGCACTATCACGCATCCAGCCCTCAGCAAACCCCAACTTGTTCTCCCTCTCCAGGAGAGAACGCAGCAGAACGCTGTCCTCTGCTTAGGGGAATCAAGCATGCAAAACCTGTGATTTGGGAAATACTCTTTCTGAGCATAAGACTCTGGAGGAAGAGGGGCTCCATATCCTGCCTAGTCTCCAAATCCAGCTTCTGGGAGGAAAGGCCAGGTCAAGCAGCACCACAGGCTGCAGGAGGACCTCCGGGCAAAGGTTGATAGCTTTGAGGACCACAAGTAACAGTGACTCAAATGTGGGTGAAATGATACTCTCCATCTAAACCCTAGTCTGCTCTTGGGAGGCCATATCTAATCCCATAATAGGAAGCCTCAAATACAAAGCATGAGGGTCTAGAATCAGAGAAGCAAAGGACAGGAATCTGCACAGCTCCCCAGTTCCTGGCTGAGGAGCCCCCTCTGCACCTCATGCTAACTCTTTGGATTCAAGCAAAAGCAGAGGTGCTCTCAGGATGAATAGGAGAGGGATGCCAAGCAGGTTGGCGAGAATGACAAGGCCCAGGAGACTTTCCTCCCGTCCTGATTAAGGGAGTCAACACTAAGAGCAACTTTGGAGCAGTCACTCCATGATGCATTTGTGCAGCTCTTGGGAACTGCCCAGAAGTGGCTGCGGGCCTGGGGGTGGAGTGGGGAGGGGTGTCTGATCCCTCAGGCTTCCGCAGATGGGGTATCATCAGACTTACAAAGCCTGCTACTTCTCAGGAGCAGCAGCTGCCAGGCCATCCCAGCCCTGCCCCCATCATGCCGGCCTGGCCTGAGGGAGATTAGGATTTTGCTCGAAGCATTGCTTTCTGCCATTTTCAGAAGGCTAAAAAATGCCAAGCTACTTGACTCCTGCTTCCAGGAAAGTTCAGGTGTGTTGGCTCAGGACAATAAGCCATTGTTGGCCTGAGGTTCGATCCCCAGATGGGGCCCCCAACTCTGCCACTCAGATAGAGGCTGAGAATACAGCCCTGATCAAAATAAAGAGGGAAGGCAGAGGGGGTCCCATTCAGCCTTGCCCACCCAGCCCCATGGGTGGCTGTCTCCACTAGCCCAGTGTGTGAACTGCTCCAGGGTACTGTCCCAGAAAGGCACCAGGCGATGCCAAGACACCCACGCACCCCGATCGCACCCTTCACCCACCATGTGGCAGAGGTTGAGACTATACTTTCTAAGGCTTTAAATGCAAATCCCTAATGAGACCTTATTAACTACTTAGCTAATAAGCACTTTGTATCACTGAGCTTCTGAGCAATCCTGACTTAGGAAGCAATTACCAAAGCATGCAGGGGGCTGGGAGGTTGCTGGGGGTGTCACCAAAATGTGCCTTTGCAATCACAGTCTGCTCAATTGTTCTATCAGCACACTGTCCAGATCACTGCCAAGGGGATCCAGAGTGAAGGCCACACCCAGTCCTTCCTTTTATTGAGGGCCAAATGGCTTCTTTCTCCCAGTGGCATCCACACACATGCACTCTGAGAGGGACATTATAAAAAGACTGGAGAGGAACGCATCCTTAGGGAAACTGGCATTGGGTCTCCCATTTGTCCTTCCTACCCTGCTGCAACCCATTCCAGAATCACCAAGATGTCGCCTAGGAGTGGTCACAAGGAAACCAGTTGTTAGAGAACTTGTCTCAAGGGATGACAGGGGATCTAGAAGCCCAACCCAAGACTACTGTG